TTATATTTTAAATTATTATCATTTATTTATCTATTTTTTTTTTTTTTTTTTTTTGAATTATTTTACAAATATATTTACAACAGTATGAAAAGGTTCATAACTAAAGTCACAAAAAGAAAAATAAAAAATCACTATATCTTTTATCACGTTCCTTTTCATCAAATCTTCTTTGATCCAAAATTCTTTCATCTTTCTCTCATCTCTTCCTCAATTTCTTTAGACCTTCTTCTATATATCATCTCATTTTCTCACCTTTCTTCATTATTTTCATATTTCTTCACCTCTTAATTTATCTAAATCAACAGTAAAAAGATATTTTTGTACTTCATCATCTATTTCTTTAGTAAATATTTTATTCACCAAACCAGATTCCCAAGATAAATTAAGGTATAAAAATTTTAAAGATGATTTATCTTTAACATAACCAATAATTTCTGTAAGATATCCTGTATCAATAGACATATTAGGGAATAAAGTTAATTCTTCTAAAGGAACTTTACAAGAATCCAAGAATGTTCCCAAATGACGTAAAGAAAATTCTTGTTCTATATTTAAATGACGTAAAGTATTTGGTAATACTGTTATCATAGCTGATAAAAGATTATTTATATCACTTGGTGTTGAAGAAGTAAGATGTAAATATCTTAATATTTTTAAACCACCAATAATTCTTAAATGTTGAGAAAAATCTAATTGAGGAGTTTCAGATATATCTAAAGAAAGACGAGTTATACGAGTTCCAGATCTTAATATTGAACTAACAATTTCAGATGTTACAGTATTTAATGATAAACTTCTTAAAGAACTTCCACCCATTCTAATTAATTGAGCAGACAATTTTGGAGATTGATTTAATAATTTTAAAGTACGAAGATTGAAAGAAGAACCATTGGCAACAATAGATGAATCATCAGGAACTTCACGAGATACAGGACATAAAGATGATACTATATCAAGAGATTTCAAATTTGAACATTTTCCAAGAATATCTAAAGATTGCCATTGATAATTAATTCTTGAAAATTTTATACTAGTAAGAGATTCTACTTGACTTTCTAAAGCGGATAAGATAGGAATTACTTGATTATGAGATCCACTAAGTCCAAAAGTATTCAAACTTTGTTGAGATTTAATAATATTAGCAATATTTTCAGCTTCAATATTACCATCAAGATCGAATTCAATTGATAAATCACGTATTCCAGTACAAATTTGAGGTAATTTTTTAATAAAATTCGACATATTAGAAGCAAAATTTGTCCAATAAATTTTTAAATTAATTAAATTACTAAAACAATTACCTCTAGTAAATAAAGGTACATTAGGTATATCATCATAAGAATCTAATACTAAAGATTCTAAACGAGACATTCTCATAAATAAATTACAAAGAGCTTTCATTATCGTAATTTGACGATTAGGATTCACTTCAACTTCAGGTTTTGTTGGTTTAATTCTTTTACTAAATTCTTTATCACCTAAATTTCTATAACAATTTCTAACAGCCAAACGAAGTAAAGGATAATTTAATTCTTTCAAAAAGACAGCATATTCAAATAAAGGACTTTTTAAACGATCCATTTGTGATAAATCTTCTTCAGCAAATAATATAGATTTTTCTTCATCATCAAAACAAGATACATAAGTTTCTATAAGACTTCTTGATGCTCGTTCTTTATATATAGGAGGTTTAGGTCTTGCCCATAAGATTGGTACGATTTTTCTACACCAAGCTCTATTTACGAATAAACATGAAAATAATGTAGGTTCATGTTGAATATGTTTGAATATTTCATAAATTGTTTCAGAAGGTAATGAAGGAAAATTATGTTTATTTGAACTTTTCGTTGACATTATTAATAATTAATAATTAATTATTAATAATTTATTATAACGTTATTATTATAATATTATTATAATATTATTATAATTTTTTTAATACAATTTTTTCGAATTTTCAAAATAATATTTTCATCAAAGATACCTTATGAAAAGAAAAAAAAGATCCATTGTTATAAAAATCATTGTTTAAATATCTTTAGATATGTTGTGACCACAGATTATTTCGGAAGGAGGCATCCGTACGATTTCACACGCCATTTGTTTATCGACTAATAGTAAAACCTCCTTCATTGGTTAAAATAATGCTGCAAGGATGATCTGAACTATGGAATTTATCACTATGAAATTATCATTAGTATGATATTCCATGTAAGAAATGTTGTGCTTGAGAGTTAATACCTTGATCGAATAATAGGGAAAAAAAAAAAAAGATAATTAAGATTATAAGATACAGATATCGTTATGATAAATTCATTTGATTTTCAGGGGGGCAAACATACCTTACGATTTCCATTAAAATAAACACATGTTCTTACACTTTTTTTTTTTTTTTTTTTTTTTATTTTCACGAGTAAACTGATCGTTATCACTTATCAGTTATTACCAGATTAGTATAATTATTAAAAATATGATGGTTAATTAGGTTAATTATAGTAATTTTAATATTACATAAGAAAAAAAAATTTTACCATTGTTTTAAAAATAAAATTTTACGTAGTATAATAAGTATAAAAATGTTTGTCGTCAGATTAATGCTTAGCGCGGTAAAATTCAGATTAATACTTAGCGCGGTAAAATTCAGATTAATACTTAGCGCGGTAAAATTCAGATTAATGCTTAGTGCGATAAAACTCAGATTGATACTTAGCGCGGTAAAATTCAGATTAGTGCTTAGTGCGGGAAGTTAAGATAGATGCTTTGTGCGGTGAAATTCAGATTGAAGTTTTAGTTCAGATTGCGGTAAAATGCTTTAGCGCGGTAAAATGCTTAACACGGTAGTGCGGTAAAAAAAGAAATTTCGAATTAATGCTTAATTGGGGTAAAAACTCTAAAAAAGAAATTTCAAATAATTTGAAGTGCGGTAAAAACTAATTAATTCTCAATGCGGTAAAAATTTCAAAATAATTTCAGTGCGGTAAGACTCTAAAATTTAAATAATTTAAATAATTTGATTAATTAGTGCGCTAAGACTCTAAAATTCTGAATAAGTTGATATTAAATAATTAATTTATCAATATATTTAAAAAATATATATGTATATATACTGTATGTATATATTATTAATAAACCTGAATTTTCTTCTGATTAAATTGGTTAAATTATTATGAATGATACCGAAAATGAGCTGAATAAATTTGAAAAAAGTATAGGGAAAACTTTTTACCATGATTGAAATAATAATGAATAGATTAATATAGAGCGTTCAAAATTTTAAATATATTGGAATACATATATTTTATTATACTATCAATAGTTTACGTGATGTGAAATGAGTCATTCGACGGGGAATCGTGGAATATCCATTACTTATATATGAAGTATGAAAGGGTTTTTATCGGGGTTCATTTAGAGTTGATGCATATAAGCATATTGCATAATTGGAGCCAATTGGGGATTTGCCAACTGAATTTATCCATTCTATTAATCCAAAGATGGATTCCATGCATTTACAGCTGATCTTTAGTCAGAAAATAGTATTTTCACGAGATACAACGAATATTAGTCGCGTAAATAATTTCAGATCTTTGGACGCGTGATTATCAATTAGGTAGATACTACACGGTGGCAACTACTGTATAAGACTAATAATTGAAATTAAAAAAAATGGCTAGTGCATGGATAAACATACAATTAGTTTAATAAAATAAAGGGATATCCTTATAACGGTAATGTGGAACTATATTGGAAATTTGGAATAGACAGAATAAAAATAAATATAAAAGAAATTCGCTTAAAATTGGAAATACCATGTTATACATGTACCATGGCTGGATATATTGGAATAAATAGAATATAAAAGAATTTTATACCAGTAGATTTCTACGTCATGCAAACATGCATCTGGATGGTCTACTATGCCGAAATAAATAGAATAAATATAAAGAAATTCAAGCAATTCTTCATATATTATATTCCTATCATACCGGTAGATTTCCAACATGACTGGATATGTTGGAATAAAAGAAATTTATACCGGGTTTGATTGTTAGATTGCTACGTCATGCAAACATGTCCACTATGTTGAAATAAATAGTAGAATAAATATAAAGAAATTCAAGCAATTCTTTATATTTAAAATTAGAAATCATATTCCTATTATACCAGTTTTGATTAACGTATACCATAATTATATAATTATAAGTCGAATATGTCTGGATGGTCCACTATATGTTGGAATAGACAGAAATAAAATGTGAATATTTTAAAATCGGAAATACTATGCCAACACGTACCATAATTATTAATTGATTATATGTTACCTGTTTCGGCCTGTCTATGCCTGTCTATTACAGTCTATGAACTCATCCCATTAATAATGTAATGATCCACTCAAGCCGCATAAACTTTTTAGAACTAATAATTCCAAAAAAAAATACATCAATCATAATTATCATGTGATGACAGGCTACTTTGGTATATTATGTAACTGTAATAAGTATCAGGCTGAAAAGAATAAATTCGCCACAATTTTGACCGTTTATTTACCTTTATTACCCCTTTCTAATTAATTATTCAAAAAAAAAGAAAAAATTTTTCAACTTAATAAATCACATGACATAATATAATTTCGCCCTGAATTAAAAATTGAATTTTTACAGCCCAAAAAAAAAAAAAAATTTATAATCAACATGTAACAAAAAACTTCACACCCCCTACATACCGTTTAACCCCCACATCAAAAGACCCGGGGTATTTTATTTTCTAAGCAGAACGTGTTTGTGTCTGGTTATGTTCTCGTTGTTTTTTTGTGGGCAAAACATAAGCAAAAATTGCATCGCATCAGAGAAATTCAATAAAAATTATTCATAAACTTTATATTCCGTTTTGGATTAAAAAAAAATGTATGTATGTATTTTGTATTTTTTCCGTATTCAAAAAAAACGTGGCATCATGGCTAATGACTCGTGTGTATTATAAATATTTTACTTATACCAAATATTGTATCATATCAAAAAAATAATACTAAAAAAAAAATTTATTTTATTTATTTGTTTTTTTTTTGTGATATCATTTATTAATTTCCAAATTCACGAAAGGACACGAAAAAAAAAAAATCAAGTTTTGTTGTTGTGGCTTAGGTTATTTTTTCTTGTTTTTCTTGTAATCTCAATTTTTTTTTAACTAAACCTTATAATGCAAATTGTTTATCAAATCAAAAACGATACAAAAAAAATTATTAATAGTAAACATTGGTAAAGAATTTAGGAATTTAAGAAGTTTTTTTATTTTAAAAACAACAATTTTATTTTAGCCCCTTCCATTTCAAAAAACTCCCCAATCCCCATCCCCCCCAAAAATATGCGTAGTAAAAAAAAACTATATATATTATTATTATTATTATATTGATATTATATTTATTATATATTGAACTTTGAACCCCCAAACAACTTAAATTTCAAGTATATTAACTTGTCCTATTAATAATATTTCTATTTTTCTATTTTTTCTATTTTTTCTATTTTGTATGGGCGGGTTTAAATGTTAAAACAATACATTTACATTGTTATCCTTTGTCATTTCTTTTTCTCTTTAGACCAAAAAAAAAAAACCTGTTTATTTTTAAAATAAGATAAAAATGTTATAGAAAAAGAACTTTTTAAAAGAAAAAAAAACGAAAACATTACATAATAATAGAGATCGATCAAAAAAAAAAAAAAAATTTTAAATGTCTTACAGTCTCAAGTCTCACACAATCTATCTTTTAGTACAATTCCCCCCACGCATTGGTCTCGTTATGTTTGTGTCATTTTTTGTGTTTCAATAATAATAATGTACTAAATGTACGATTATCTTTTATAATAAACAAAATTGAAATTGTTTTCTTTTTATTGATAAGACAAAAGAAGAAAAAAATTACGCCAAGAACTAACAGATTTTAAGATTTTCCAGGAATAATAAATAAATAAGATTCCTTTAGTGATACATACCATACGATAAATTATTTTTCTCTTCCGGTCTTCTCCCCCAATATTTGTTCTATTTAATTTGTCAATTCCCTATTCGTCCCCGTTATTCACCGATCAAATTAGGATTTTTTTAACGAATGTCATAATTTGGGGAACGATTTTTTTTAAAAATATTATGACAACATGACAAATTTATTTACGTGTTACCACAAAGAGTCCATTCCGAATAAGGATGAAGTACATTTTCTTAGTGGATAACTTTATAAACTTTATCAGGATTTAAATCTTGTTCATTGTTTGCATCGCACAAATTGTTTTTTCCAAATGAATATAAAGTAAAAATTTCATGGGGGAATGACCTTTTCCGAACTTCCTTTAGTTCAATATCTTTTTATTATCCTCAATATAAGTAAACAAATCAAAGTTAGATTAAACCCCGGTATATCATGGAAATATTCGGTAATTATGAATTATTATCTTTTTTATAATGTAGATGAAGTCATGAGATTTTAATCTCTTTTAAAAGAAATTTCCCGGTTTTTTTTCTCTTAATAACAATGAAGAGATAACAAAATTTTCTCTTGTTGCACTATTTTGGTATTCTATTTAACCTTCCGAAAGCGGCTATCACCGAAAATGTATACTTATTTGTTATACAGTTAACTTGTCAAATTTTTTTAGTGTCACTATGAAATCGACTGCGGAAATGTCCGTCTAATATAAGAATATAAAGTCCGATATATTATTATATTATTATATGTATATTATGTATTATATGTGAATCAAAATAAAGATAAACGATAAAATAATAAATTTATCGATTTTAAGTTGGTTTTTATTATTATTTTTTTTTTTTTTTATCCAAATTTAGATTACAATGATTTTTTATTATTAATCATTTTTCAAATTTTCTAACCAAAAAAAAAATAGAAACGAAAGGGAAATAAAAAATCCTATTTTAAATTTTACGACTATGATTTTTTTTTTTATTTTTAAATAAAAAAAAAAATAAAAAACGCCATGATTTTCAAAAGGCTAAATACTAAATTGTATAATTATGTCGTCATTTTTTGCTGCACATTTTTTTTTTAGCTATTTGATAATCATCTATTATTATAATCTCTCTTTTCCCTAAATCCTGAAATGGAATTTGTTGTCAAAATTTGTACTTGTTAATAATAATTTTCCGATATGGTAAGAATCGCGTTTTTTTTTTTTATCATGAAAGAATTTTCTGCGAAAGATTTTACAATGATTACAATATTTACAATATTACAATGGGCTCAGCAAAATAAAAATCTCCAAAAATGGATACAGAAGAATTCAGAATTGTAATGCACGCATCATAAAAAAAATATCTCATTTTTTAAAAATAAATTTGCAGACAAGTATTTTTTTTTGTTTGAGAAAAAAAAAAAGACGTAATGACCTTTGAAGGGGCCATTCGTTTTTTTTTAATAGATAAACTTTAATAATTTTTTTTTTTTTCTGTTAAATATTAGCTAATTAAGATATATAATGAATAATAGATAAAATATATATATAAAAGAAAAATAAAATATGTAAGAATAGCCTATTTATTAACATCTAAAGAGCAAAAAAAAAAATTAATTGAAAAAGAAAGCAAAAAAGAGCCTTTTCTATTTCCTATTTATCCCAAACAATAAAAATGATCTTTTTCTAACTGTGACAAAAGAAAACCCCAAGTAAAAAGCCAAATCGCAAAAAAAAAAAATGTAAAAAAGAACAAAAAAATCCCAACTTAAATAATAAGATAAAGGACTATTTTTTCTCGAACCGATGATTCAAACTTGGTATCATACCATGTTCTTCTCTATTGCAAATGTTTTTTAAGATATCATCAATAATTAAAAGAGGACTAATTTAAAAGGACTAATTTAATCTGATATAAGAGGAATCAGATTATTAAAAGAACTACAAATTGATAAAAGAATAATATATATATATAATATAGGTCGTTAAAATAATAAAAAATATATATAATACTTCGACAAAGAACGAAAATTAAGGAAATAAAAAAAAAAAAATTGAATTTTTTTTTTTTTTTAAAAAAAATAAAATAAAATAAAATAAAAAAAATAAAACGCATAAAAATAATAAATCTTATGTTTGTCATATTCAGATTTTGCCAATTTGATTTTGCCATAATTAAAAATACTTATATAAAAACCTTATATAAATCATAATATAAAATTAAAGAAACCGAAGTTTTCGTTAAAGTCCATAATTTTTTTAATCCTACAAGAGGATAACATAAATTATTTCCTCAACTTCCGTTTCTTTGCGAGTAAATTCAGATGTAGTTCGTTCGTGTTTTGCCAATTTGCCAATTATAAGAAATACGAGAATGTAAATGTTTGAATTGGAACGATATCGAATCATCGTTCGGAGAATTTTCTAAGTTGGTTTGCGACTGGCGACGGGATCCATACGAGGATATATCCCTTTGCCACGTTATCGTTAAAAGATTTTAAATGAATAAAATGCGATGTGAAAAAAAAAATTTTTTTTTTTTGAAAGGTTTGAAAGGTATTAAAAATTTACAAGCAGGAGATATCTCCTAAAGGGGAATTATCTAAAGAATAAAGTCTAATGAATATGAATAGATAATATATATATATAGAAAAGAAAAAAAAAAATAATGTGAAGAATATTTATATGTGAGAAATATAGTTCTGAATAAGTAAAATATTTTTTTTTTTTTTTTTTTAAAAGGAAAACTTCCCAAAATTAAGTATTAATGAGATAAAGAAGGGAAGGATGTGTCAAAACAAAAATCATTCATTTAATCCTCATAATAAACACCAGAATCTTCAGGTCTAGTATGAACCATTACAGGTTCATCATCTATAGGTGAAGGTGGTCTTGAAACTAATTTGTAAACAGGGTGACCATCTTTTGTTGCACCAGTTCTTTCGGCCAAAAGAACTATATCATTACACTCCAGAGTATAAAGATTTCGAACTGAATGACGTTTTTGATTTAATGTTGGTGATGACATTACTGTTAAAGATTTTCGAAGAGATGGTTGTTTTTTGAGAGTGAATGATGTTTGACATGCTGGACTTTCCTTAAGAAGTTGACGATTATTGATAGCTAAACGAAATTGTCCAAGACCATGAATTCTTGTTTCAAGTTCTCGAAGTCGTTCCATATTATCATGTTCTCGTTTTTGTTCTTCAACATCAGCAAGAACTTCATCAAGTTTTAATTTAAGTGATACTGTTTTATCATAATCGAAACCATCTTTATCTGTTCCTTTAAGTAAATTTGTGATAAGAAGTGGGTATTTAAGAAGACGTTGAAATGGTTTAAGAAGGTATGTGGTCAAAGGCATATTTCTGCAAGATGGAGATTTTTGTTGTTTTCGGACAAGACGACCTAATTTATCCTTCTTTCTAATAGATTCATCAAGTTCTCTTAATGCATCTTCATAATGAATAAGATATGGTGCATAAGCTCGGAATACCCAAACATATGATAAAAGGATGTCAGAAATACTTCGAACCAATGGGAATTGGTTTTCTTGACGTTCATTTAAACAATTACTAATGACTTCGTGAATGAATAAAAAGTATGAAATTGAATTGAAAACTTTATTCAAATTTTCTGGTACTATATGTTTGCGATGTTTTTCTTCTGCTTGTTTAATAGGATTGATAAAATATTCTTCAATTAAACGTAAATCGCGAACATACCTAAAAAAAAGAGGATAAAAAAGGAAAAAGAAAATCGTTAATCATGTGACTATAAAAAGGACAAATATGACAAATACTAAAAGGAAATTATTAGGAAAATCTTAAGGGGGAGGAAAGAAAGAGAGCTTAAAAAGAGAATGATATAAATAAATACTTACTCATGCTCAGTTTTAATAATTTCAAAAAGTACTTCTTGACGATTTAACTCTTTTGGAGCCAAATTTGCAACAAGCTCTTCATCAACATTATCTGACCAAATTGTATTTCGACGACAATCAGTATGATGAACGATAGTTCTACGTCTTAAACTTGGACTATTTTTCTTTTGTGTGGAAGCTAAAACGCTTTGAAGAGTAGAATCTTTTGCTGGAGCAGTTTTTGAGGTATTATGAAAAAATGGGACGTGAAATTTCTTTTTAAATGAAGATGTTGCCATTTTATCTTGTGTCGTTGTGTGTTGTTGTTCTTGAATTTGATTCTTTTTTTGTGAACTATCACGACGACGAATCGTACTTAATAGCGGCATTATTTTTAGTATTTAATTTTTCTTTTAATTATTGTTTAGGTTTTTTATAATTATTAAACGAGACCGCTAATATGGGAGTAATATTAAAAAAAAAAGAAAATTTTTTTTTTTAAAATTTTTTTGAACCATGGGAATTGGGCGTTCCTTTTATAACTGATCTTATCGTGTTCTATTATTGTTGATTTTATTGAAGCTTGTTGGTGACACAAGGATTTTTTTTTTTTATATTATAGGTGTAATAGTTACGATAAAAACAATTTATATTGTGTATATTAATTACTTTTTTTACTTTATATTTTATTTATATATATTATACTACAAGTCAGTGTGACACAAGAGGATCACCAATTATTTAAGGTTAACATAAAAAAAATTTTTTTCAATTGAGGGCGGCGCGCAAAACCAATTATTACAATTAATTATATATAAATATATATATAAATATACAAAAAAATATACATATACATCTGTCTCTTATACACATCTAGATGTGTATAAGAGACAGATATAATATAGGTCGTTAAAATAATAAAAAATATATATAATACTTCGACAAAGAACGAAAATTAAGGAAATAAAAAAAAAAAAATTGAATTTTTTNTTTTTTTTTTTTTTTTATTTTTTATTTTTTTTTTTAAAAAAAAAATAAAATAAAATAAAATAAATATATTTATTATTTAATCATTTTATTATCGGTTTGTAAAATTGAGTTTAGTATGTAATAAAGTGAGTAATAAGTTTTATGTGGTAAAATTACTAATTAGTTATTCTAATAATAAATAATATAATATAAGTAATAATATAAGTAATAGTTTAGTAATAGTTAGTAAAGTAGTATTTTTAATCAATGTGGATAATGTGGATTATACAAAATATAAATAATATTAATTAAATGTTTATCTATAAATTACCGATAAAAAAAAAGTCATATATATTATATATAACATTTATTAATTATTACTCATAATTTATTGCTCATATTGCTCATGTGAATCAATAATTGATGGATTGAATCACTCATCTACTCCCCCCTTTTGAGAGAAAGGAAAAAGTTTCGGGAAATGTCCATGTCACGTGATTATACTGTGTAAAATTTTTTATTCACTAGTAATTTTTTTTTTCGCTTGTCCCCGAATTACGAATCGGGATTTTTTTCCTACGATTTTTCTTTTTTATTTTATTCTATTTTAAAAAGAAAGACCTATCATTATCATTAGCCAATGCAATCAAATGATTATTTTTTTTTGCGGCATATTAAAAATTTAATAATCTTTTGTAATCTTTTGGAAACAAATTTTTAGCACTGCCCTACTATTTACCAAACAAATACGTCTGCTGGTTGCCACATTTTTTCATCTTTTGACATTGTTCTCGTGATCCTCGAGATTTTTTTAATCATCACAAATAAGCTACAACAGCTTACAACATTAATTAATAATGTTTCACTATAAACTTATTATAAACTTAGTTATACTTTATTATACTTTTATTATACTTTTATTATACTTTACCTCTTGGCGAAAATTATTTAATAAGGAAATAATATTAACAAGAGATTTTGTAAAGTATAATACCAAAAATATATGGAACAAAGTCAAAATATCTGAAACATCAAAAAAAAGAAGAAACAACGGGCGGGAAAATCATTTCACCACCACATCACATCACATTTAATCAAAGAGAAAATGTAATATAAAGTATTAATATTAAAAATTTTGTTATACGAATGTATTATGTATTGAAAAAAAATTTTGATACATTTTTAATACGTTTTAATACTTATTTACATATATATTACATCCCATTAATGCTTTTATATTAAAACTCTCGAAAATTACTGGTTATAGTAATACCAAAATATGCACAAATATGCATAAAAAGAAATTTTGTTGGAAAACAATAAACAGGAACGGAGAAAGATATTATTAATAAAAGTTACATATACCTTATATACAAGTACGTCAAACATTATTATTACATAATGATGAAATCATTTGTAAACTTTTTTAAACCTTTTTAAAACCGTAATTAACGTAATTAATGTAATTATAATTCGATCGGTTTTAAAAAACAAACAAGAAACAAGAAAGAAATATTTTTTAATGAATTTAATTCCCACATTAATCAATTTTTTATCCCAAAAACAGATTTCCTTTATCTTTTTTTTTTTTTAATTAAAAAAAAAAGTTTCTTTATCCATTTTTTTTTACGTTGTTTGTATTCTTTAATGTTTAACCGAAAATCTTTATGACCATTTTGGATACAATACATGCATCATGTCGCTTATTAACATTTTTTTTTTTTTTAATTATATTAACTCGGAATAAAAAATGTGTTAATTTTTTTTTGGAAATATAATTATGGCGTAATTTTCTAATTTTCTCTAACAAATTAATAATACAATTAAAAATAATAAAATATTAACAATAATTATAAAACAATTATAAAAAATTATTATTATTATTTTTTTCCATATTTGAAACTATTATAATAAAAAAAAATTGTATTAATTATATTAATTTGTAATTTGTATATAAGGTTATGTATTGTCATGTAACGTATTTAATACTTATTAGTCGGTTATTAAAAAAATAGAATTAGCCGGCTAACCCGGCTCAACTCTAATACCTTTACTTAAAAATCCCCCTTTAGAACCTAAAAAAGAAATTTTTTCATAATGGTGTGTGTTCAGAATGATTTGAACAATACTAATTACTTTGTACAACAAATGTTAAACCAAATTTAGTTATGAGATATGCACATTATCCCATTTAGAAGAAATTCTTTTGCATTATTCATTCGATAATTAGAATGTTTTTTTTTATTCCTAATCAATGAGTGGGTAAAAGTAAAAACTATAAAGCTTTAGAAATCATATTTGTGATGCAGTGAGAAAAAAATTATTTTTTTTTTTTTGTCAACTTTATTTTATTTAGTTGTGTTTCAATAAACAACACATAACAGCACATATACAACATATATAACACATATATACAACACATATACAACACATATACAACACGTATACAACACATTACAGTACTTTAAACTCTAGAACTCTCTTTTTTTTTTTACCTTCTTCTTATCGACTTCAAACGCCAAATTGCCAAGTTAATTATAATGTTCAAAACTTTATTAGCATTCATTCAATAATAATAAAAAAAAAAATGAGAAGAAGATCGTAGTTGTAAATTATTCGATTACATCGATATAATCTCAAACACAATGTTATTAAAATGAATGATATTATAGTAATATGCCATCAGAACAGAAAATGCAATGTTTGAAGTGAAGAGATTTTCTTTGAATTACTAGGCTTACGCAAACCCTCATCACAAAAAAAAATTACAGCATGAATAATAATTGCATCATACCTTTTTATTTCACAATGAAGATTTATTTTTATATTTTTTTAGAATTATAAATTTTTTTTTTTTAAAACGCGATAATAAATTGATAATGCGAGAATGCGAGATTTTTATTTTTTTTTTATGTATGAAAAGGAGTTTATGTAGTATGAAAAAGGAGTTCATGTAGTGTAGTAATATCAAGTCATGCTCATATATTTCATAATGATTACAATTTAATTCTATAATATTTTAACAGGGGGAACGGATACTCATTAGAGTCAAAGACCAAACCATAAACGCATTGTGTAACGTTTGAAATGGTACATATTGTTTTACATGCATATATTAAAAAAAATAAGGGTCTCAGAATTAAATCCTGCAATAAAAGTCTTGATTAGGTCTCACCAAATTTTCAGCCTTCGCTTAAATATTTTCGACCTACAGACCTAGACCCTATCAACAAGGATTGATCTGTCAAAAGGATCTCTTTTTTTAAAAAAGAAATAGAATTTTATTCTCTTGTTTTACTTAATAAAGTTATTTGATCTAATAATCGTTATCTATACTTTCTTTAATGCCACAACTTTTTACTTGATAAAGAAAAATGTACTCTACGAATCATGTATAATTTTTTAAAACAGAAATCTTCTAGCGTGTAACTAAATATATGCATTAAAAGATATATATATTATGAAAAATATGTGTAATATGTATAATATGTAAGTATGTAATAATATATAATATGTCACCTCCTTTAATGTTATAAGATTTTATAACGATAATGCATGAAAATATGCAATTTTTCACACCATGTGAGTTTCAATTAATACGTGGCCTATAGAAAATTCTAATTAATAATAATAATAATAAGATGATATGTTGGAACATTAGAATAGAATTCATATTTGCTTCACTTGTTTTGATTTTTGATATATATACACATTTGACTTTTATAACCGTAATTTTGTACATCATATACATATCATATACATATCATATACACATCATACACATCATATACACATTATATACACATCATATACACATTACATACACATCATATACACATAATATACACATCATCATATACACATTATATACACATTATATATACATAAAAAGGATCATTTGAAATTTTAAAACTTTTGAAAATAATCATCAACAATCAACAAAAGAGTACAAGAAGATATTATCAGGAGCTTTTACATCGAAGATACCCCTGCACGAAAAAAAAAAAAAAAAAAAAAAAAAAAAAAAAAAAAAAAGATTCAAAACTTTAATGAAGATTAAATAAAAAGCAAGGAGAATGTTCGTAATGTATCATATAACAAACAAGGTACGAAATGATGAAAATCATCACGGCATCTGAAACCAATTATCAATGTTCATTAAAAGGAAATCCATATGACATATTATTTTTAAGTCATGAATGAAGAAAAATTAAACTTTTGATTAAATAAAATTAATTATTTACTTTGTTGGTTAGAAGAAATAAATAGATTTCTAATTTAATATTGTAAATGTTGTATAACCTGGCTGTCTTCTTCTGTCTTTGTTCTAAATAAAAACTTTTTTACTAAAAAAGCGTTCAATCAAAATAAATATATAAAAAACTTCATATTTCCCGCGCAAATTTCCTAAATTACAAATAAGATTTCTATATGCAGGGTAATAAATGTCTTACATTTTGGTTTTATATTATGTATCATAACAAAAATATATATTTTTTTTTTTTAGACACACTACATTT